CAGTGGAGAAGGAATAAGTGAAGGTGAAATAAAAACTTTTTTTGGAACTTCCCTGACAGTTCAGTGGTTAAGACTCCACGCTCCCAATACAAGGGGCCCAGGTTCAAACCTCAGTCAAGGAACTAGATTCCACATGCAGGCTGCAACTAAGAGTTTGCATGCCACAACTAAGGAGCCGGAGAGCCGCAATTAAGGAGCCCATGTGCTGCAAATAAGGAGCCAGAGAGCCACAACTAAGCAGCCCACCAGGGAGCAACTAAGACCCGGCACAACAAAATAAATAAATAAATAAAAATAATAACAAAGTATTTGATTATGCATATATATGCTTGTGTATGAGAAATGAATGACAGCAATGATATAAGGGATAGAAGGGAGGAATTGGGGTTTTGTTATTATAAGGTTATTGCACTACCCATGAAGCAGTATAGGGTTATGGGGTAGTGCAAGAACCTTATAATAACAAAATAATCCAGCAGTATGGGGTGGACTTGGCTTAGTTGCAAATATGTATTGCAAGCTCTACGGCAATCACTATAAAAGGTCTAAAAAAAAAGAAGTATGAGAAATATGCTAAGAGAAAACAGAATCATATAAAATTATTATTTAAAACCAAAGGCAAGGGCTTCCCTGGTGGCGCAGTGGTTGAGAGTCTGCCTGCCGATGCAGGGGATGTGGGTTCATGCCCCAGTCCGGGAGGATCCCACATGCTGCAGAGCAGCTGGGCCCGTGAGCCATGGCTGCTGAGCCTGCGCGTCCGGAGCCTGTGCTCCGCAACGAGAGAGGCCACAACAGTGAGAGGCCCGCGTACCGCAAACAAACAAACAAAAACAAAAAAAAACAAAGGCAAAAAAGAGTAGAAGACAAAAATAAGAACAAGGGCAACAAATAGAGAACAGTAACAAATATGGCAGATAGTATTCCAACTGTATCAATAATCACTTTGAATGTCAATGGTCTAAATGCACCGATTAAAAGACAGACATTGTCAGAGTGGATCAGAAAACAAGACCAACTATATGCTGTCTGCAAGAAACCTATTTTAAACATACAGACACATATAGGTTAAAAATAAAGGGATAGAAATGACAACAACAAAAAAACAAACAACCCAATCGAAAAATGGGCAGAAGACCTAAACAGACATTTCTCCAAAGAAGAAATACAGATGGCCAACAGGCACATAAAAAGAGCTCAACGTCTCTAATTATTAGAGAAACGCAAATCAAAACTACAATGAAGTACCACCTCACACTGGTCAGAATGGCCATCATCAAAAAATCTACAAACAATAAATGCTGGAGAGGGTGTGGAGAAAAGGGAACCCTCCTCCACTGTTCTTGGAATGTAAAGTTGTACAACCATTATGGAGAACAGTACAGAGGTTCCTTAAAAAACTAAAAACAGGGGATTCCCTGGTGGCGCAGTGATCGAGAGTCCACCTGCTGATGCAGGGGACACAGGTTCATGCCCCGGTCCGGGAAGATTCCACGTGCCACGGAGTGGCTAGGCCCGTGAGCCATGGCTGCTGAGCCTGTGCGTCTGGAGCCTGTGCTCTGCAATGGGAGAGGCCACAACAGTGAGAAGCCCGCGTACTGCAAACAAAACAAAACAAAACAAAACAAAAACCTAAAAATAGAACTACCATATCATCTAGCAATCCCACTCCTGGTCATGTATCTGGGGAAAAACATAATTCAAAAAGATACATGCACCCCAATGTTCACTGCAGCACTATTTACAATAGCCAAGACATGGGAGCCACCTAAATGTCCACTGACAGAGGAACAGATAAAGAAGATGTGGTACATACATACAATGGAATTTTACTCAGCCATAAAAAAGAATGAAATAATGCCATTTGCAGCAACATGGATGGACCTAGAGATTACCATGCTAAGTGAAGTCAGACAGAGAAAGCAGAATATCATATAACAGCACATCTATATATAGAATCTAATTTTAAAAATGATACAAATGAACTTATTTACAAAAGAGAAACAGACTCACAGATCTTGAAATCAAACTTACGGTTACCAAAGGGGAAACATGGGGGGAGGTGATAATTAGGAGATTGGGATTAACATATACACACTACTATATATGAAATAGATAACTAACAAGGACCTACTGTATAGCACAGGGAACTCTTCTCAATATTCTGTAATAACCTATATAGGAAAAGAATCTGAAAAAGAATGGAGATATATATATATATATATGTATAACTGATTCACTTTGCTGTACACCTGAAACTAACACAACATTGTAAATCAACTATATTAGAATAAAATTTTTAAAAATTAAAACGGCTTTCAATAAAAAGTATCTACCAGGATGTTAATAAGAGCGTTCTTCCTAACAGGGAACAAACAGAAACAACGATTATGTCTAACAGTACGGAGTTAATTAAATTATGACAATCTACATTATAAAATAATATGAATCCATTAAATGAGAGTATTTACTGATATGGCAAAAAAAATTTATGATATTAAGTGAAAAAGCAAGTTATAAAACAACATGCATAATAAATATAATTTTTTTGAAATATATTTATGCAGCAAAATAACAAGAAAGAAAGGCAGCAAAAATGTTAGTGTTATCTTTAGCTGGGGCAATTATGGGTAATTTTATTTTCTATTTATTTAGTCTCTAATTTAAAAAAAAAATGATGCATTATACTCATGTTTAAAAAGCAACGTTGGACTTCCCTGGTGGTGCAGCGGTTAGGAATCCACCTGCCAGTGCAGGGGACGCGGGTTCGATCCCTGGTCCAGGAAGATTCCACATGCTGAGGAGTGGCTGGATCCGTGTGCCACAACTATTAAGCCTGTGCTCTAGAGCCCACGAGCCAGAACTACTGAGCCCGTGTGCCAGAACTACTGAAGCCCGTGTGCCTAGAGCCCGTGCTCTGCAACAAGAGAAGCCACCGCGAGGAGAAGACCGCGCAACGCTACAAAATGTAGCCCCCATCGCTGCAACTAGAGAAAGCCCGTGCACAGCAACAAAGACCCAACGCAGCCAAAGATTAATTAATTTAAAAAAAAGAAAAAGCAACGTCATTAGAAAAGTTAAGTAGCTCAATAGATACTAGTTAAGTAGATACTATGCTCCTTAAGAAGGGCCTATTTTTTGTTATTGGCCTGCCAAAAAGTATAATGCCTCTCCATATGTAGTAGGGGTTCAATAAATGCTTAATGACTAGATCGATAGAATGAATACAATAATGGCCTCACTTAATTTCACTACGTCATTTACTCTACTAGTCATTCTTAACTAAAGAAATCCACAAATTGTCTGTTGACTGTTAAGTCACTATCCTTTGGTTGAGGAATGTTCAAATTAAACCCTATGTGAGAGTGCCCTCTGGTGGTTTCACTGACAATGCTTTTTATCAATTTGAAGTGTGTGAATCCCCCGCACCAATGGAAAGAAATATGAGAGTAAGAACAGGGTAGTAAGATTTTCATGAAGCTAAATTTATTCCATTTAAAGAACCATCAGACTTTATGTACTTTTTAAATTTCTGAAAAAAACAAACTGACCTTTCACAAAGTGTTAGTGATAGTGGATAATAGGTTACTCCTCTGAGGTGGAGAAGCAGAGGGGAAGTGATAGTGGTGATGAAATACGTACTTATTCAGCAACTCATGAAGACCAAAATTCCAGGAACTACAATGTTAACTACAATGTAATATATTTCCAGTACAACAAGAACTAACTTAATTCTCCAAAGCACTGACATGTGAATGTGTGGTTTGGGCATCTTACAATTGAACAATCTCTATTTAGTAGATCCTTGTACTTAGAAGAAAATTTGTTATTTAATTAATTTAGTTTTTATTCTTCCTACTTTTATAACATGGCATATCTCAATCTTTGTAAAAATTTGGATATAAATCAACCAGAAAAAAACTATTTTCGAAGCTATGTCACCAAACACAGCCAGTTAATATTTCTGATTATCCAACTCTATTGACTTGTTTTTCCTTTGATCTTTCCCCCCAAATGAATAATATATTAATGAAAAGAGCATAAACCGCTTAAAAACACTTCCTTTCTGTAATAGAGGGTGGCCATTATTATTTTCTTTACTCTTTCCTATTCACTATTCCTTACATTTTACTCAACACTTGACCCTTCACCTTCCTCTATTCAAAGAACTAGATTAAGCAATAGACTTTGAATGTGAAATCATTTTTCACACCAAATTTTAAAATATCACAAATATTGCACAAGTTTGAATAAAGCACCTTTTCACCTTCTTAATAAAGACTCCTCACCTCCTAAATAGAAATCACAGGGGCATCAATGCTATTAAGGATCATATATAAGCTGGTAGGGATAATCAACAGAATAGACTATTAACATTTCTTAAGACTACTTTAGTAATATTAACATTTTAATCACAGAGTTGTATGTGCTCTGAAGCTCAGAAAAAAAATCTCAAAATGAATAATATAATATTCTTTCTAGGAAAGCACATTCTTGGGTGAAAGAAAACACCTCTTGTCATAGTGATGCCTTGTAAAAAAGGCTCTGGACAGTTTGGATCCTGGCTCTCCCACTTGCTAGGTAGGTAGGCTTCAAGTCACTTAGCCTTATCTGTAAAATGGGGATGATGCACCTTCTTCAAAGGATTATTGTGAGAATTTAATAATAATGTAAACTAAAGACCTAGCAGGTAGTAGAAACTGATTAAAATGTAACTATTTCCTAGAGCCACAAAAACGGAAACATTGTAACATCTATTTTCTGTGTGGATCTCATGAGTTTCTTTTCAAAGGCAGTTTAAAACTCTTCAGGAGAATCATGCACGTTTTTATTCATCATATTTATACTACTATTTGGCTGATAATGTAAAAGTACTTAATCATACCAGGCGCATAAAAATAAATAGTAGACTTTAATAACTCAAAAGGAAAATAAAAATAGGCTTCCATAAATAAGAATGTGAAATCCAGAACTACTTAATATATATAAAGAAATACACATTCTAATATATGAGAAGACATTTTATTATTTTACTATATAACGTATTAATGAATATACGCAATTTGTATTTTCTCAAATGGCAAATGAGACGCAGGATAACATTTCTCTTTGATTCCTGAAAACCTCAATATCATCTGTCTTTTGGAGGATTCAGTTTCCTACGACGTCTATGATACCTTGAAAAGAAGAAAATATTTAAGATAAGATTATTTTAATACAAGTTAACTGTTTCTGATAGAAATATCAAATTTCTATTACCCTGCTGTTTACTGGTATTCAAAAAAATCAGTGAAACCTAATACACACACACACACACACACACAGTTAGACACACCTCAGGTAGAAGATACTTCTTAATAATAAGTCACATTTTCCTGCTGTGAAAATTGTCTTCTATTAATTAAGCATTTGGAAAGTCTTTTTTTCAGATCTTGAGGTAGTTTCAATACGGCAATCTGGATGACTGTTCATTAAACACTGTGAACATGCAGAACGTGCTCTATTAAAGTTTTATTCAAAAGGGGATGATCAGCTCTAAATGGAGGCCTCTAAAGCTGCAAGATCATGTTTTTATAATAAAATACGATTAGTAATATGTATATGGAAAAATGTGCAATATCACAAAAATGGAAGAAATGCAAATTAAAACAGTGAGAAACGTTTTTACTTTTTTTTGCAATCACAAATATTTTAAAAATTATAATGCACAATCCAAGTATGAGTATGGTGAAGCAAGTAATATCAGACCCAACTGCTTAAAGTATTAATCAGTATAACACTTTTGAAAAACAGTGTGGCAATACTTAAAAAAATTTTTTTTAATAATCATAATTTTTGACCTAGTAATTCCTCTTCTGGAAATCTATCCTAAAGCAATAAGTAAGCAGTTAAAATATTAACTATTTTAATATTAAAATATTAATGGGGAAAGGGATGATACAGGATGCAAATTTATATATACAGTATGATAAAAACCATGTAAAAATTTATGTGAACTAATAAAGATTAAAACCATGTAAAAATTTATGCAAACTAATAAAATTTATGTATAGGAAGAAAAAGAGAAATAAAATGCATTGTTAGCAGTGACTAAGTGATTTCGCCATGAAGAATTCTTTCTTCTTCTCAACATTTCCTTATTTTCTTTATTGAGTTAAGAAAATGTCTGCACAGAGTACATTTGCTTTCGGTGATGAATTCTCTTCAAAAATTCCCTTAAGGCCAGAATCTTGCAAGTTGGTCTGAGCTAATTTTTAACTTTTTTTGCTAGTGTGGACATTCACTGTAAAGATCTCTACACCATAAATGATAAGACATGTTCTTATGCTCTTTCGTTGTTGTGATTAAGATGATCTGGGGGGACTTCCCTGGTGCTGCAGTGGATAAGACTCTGTGCTCCCAATGCAGGGGGCCTGGGTTCGATCCCTGGTCGGGGAACTAGATCCCACATGTATGCTGCAACTAAGATTCACATGCCACAACTAAGGAGCCCACATGCTACAACTAAGGAGCCCACGTGCTGCAACTAAGGAGCCAGCGAGCCGCAACTAAGGAGCGCACCTGCAGCAACTAAGACCTGGTGCAACCAATTAAATAAATAAATGAATTAAAAAAAAAAAGATGATCTTCAGTATTTTTTGCTTATCTTAAGGTTTCATAAGGCAACTTTCCTATACACTGTTTTTTGATATTGATTTTTTGACAAATTGCAAAATACAGAAATTAACTTAAAAAAATGAAGCATATCTATATATACTAACATGGAACCCTAAGCTGTAGAATAATACATATAGCATAATATCAATTATCTAAATAAACATTTCTACATGTACTTATATTGGCATTGAGAAAATTACGGTTTTCTTAAGGGTTCCAGTTATGTGCCAGATAATCAAGGTTTTACTAGTGCAATAGTATCCCTGAAAGGTGTTCTCTCAAAGCAGTTAGATACCAGAATAGGGGGGTTTGGGAAGTCACAAACTTACTGAAATTATTTATAAGAATTTTGTATATGTGTTTTTCTGGGAAGTGGATTCATAGGTTTCATCAGATTCTCAATGAAGTCTGTGGCCCTAAAAATCTAAGCATTATCCTATAAAAATGTGATTCAGCTTACAATGCTCAACCATTTTCACTACCCAAGACTGACTGAAAATGCCTGAGACCCTGATAGCCCTAAACCTAACAAAGTCGAGCTCTGAAATATGCTCAATAAATGTTAAATAGCATTTACAGATTTCTTATCATGCATGAATGTCAATATATGCTATAATCACTCAGAAGCAAGCACCTGAATTTTAGGGTGCCCTTATAACTTATCATCCAAACTGGGATCCTTTAAAGAATAAAAACCCACTCTATTAATAATTAACAAAAGAGTTAAACTGAGACTGTCCCTGGGAAACCAAAACATATTGTTACCCTTCTTAAATTACACAATGACCCAGTGGTATCTGAAAGATCTGTCTACAGTTCTTAGTCCAAGACAGAACTTCACCTCCTGGTTCACAATGCAGCTAGATGTTCAAATGTCTCCTACTCATGGTGGTAGCTAATTTTTGTTGCCTCCATGGAAAAATATTAAAGTAGTCCTTTAAATAAAGTCGTGCAGCTATTCATACATTTATAGAATTGCTTTATATTTCAGAAATTTAGAATTACTTTCCAGATCCTTCTTACTTTCTATCCAGACTTCTTTCAATCCTTCCATCCTTCTTTCTTTCAACATAACTTTACATTTAGTGGAGTTATGTTAGCTATTTTCTTTTTTAAGAGATATTATGAAAATCAGAATCATTCGCTCATTCATTTATTCATTCATTTTAAAGGTGTGGAGCATCTACCACATGCCAGGCACCAATTTTAGGCGCTAAGGTTTCTGTGGTACACAAAACATGACAAAATCCCCACCCTCATGGAGATTACATTCCAGTGTATTAGACAGAAAAACAAGATAAACAAGTTGACCAGGGAAGGCTTCAGTGAGTAAAAACGCAAAATAAGTAAGACAGCTATCTTTGCTGGTATCAGCAAGAAAAAGTATTCTATATAGAGTAAACAGCAGGTATAAGGGCTCTGAGGTAGAAGGAAGGGCATGTTCAAGGAACAGAAAAGAGGTCATGTGGCTGGAACAGAGTGAAGAAAGAAGAGAATAGTAGGAAATGAGAGTGGAAAGGTAAAAGAGGGTCAGATCACATAGGTTCTAGTAGATAATAGTTAAGGCCTATAGCTTTTCTCTAAATGAGATGGAAAGCTGTTGGAGGGTTTTCAACAGAAAAATCATAAGAACTAGTGGAATTTTTAACAGGATTACTCTGGCTGTGTGCTAAGAACAGACCACAGGGAAGCAAAGGCAGAAGTAGGGAGACCAGTTAGAAAGCCACTTCTATGAACCAGGCAAAAGATGGTGGCGTGTACCAGGATGATGGCAGAGGGAATGGTGATAAATGGTCAAATCCGGATACATTTTGGAGATAGAGCCAACAGGGTTTGCTTATAGACCAGATGTTGGGTATGAGACAAAGAGAAAAGTCAAAAATGGCACCAAGATTTCTGGCCCAAGCAGCTAGAACAATGGAACTCGCATTAACTGAGACAGGGAAGGCTGCAAAAGAAGCTGGTTTGTGAGGGACCACGAAAAGCTCAGTTAGAGACACATTAAGTTAGGGATGTCCGTTAGACAAGTAGGCCCGTGGATATACAGGTCTGGAGGTGAAGGGACAGGAAGAGATAGATTTGGGAGCCAATGCAGATGGTATTTAAAGCCATGAGACTGGATGAGATCACTGTCTTAGGGAATGGGAGAGAAAAGAGAAGAGAACCAAGGACTGATCCTTGGGAAACTCCAAAATTTAGAGATAAGGGAAATGAAATGGAATCAGCAAGAGAAACCAAGATAGTATATGAACTTTGGGTACATAAACAGAGTTTCAACAAACTTATTAAGGTTGAATTAATGAGAAAAACAATGGAAAACTCAAACAAAACCATTAGGAACTCTGCCATATTGCTAAAATGATGTATTTTGCAAAGAATTATAATGGAAGGAATGCTCCACTGACTTTTTTATTTTTTTCATGCCAATTGAGGAAGACTGAAAAAAGGAAAAAGAGCTTGTACACAGATGCTGGCAAGTGAAGCACTGATATGTCCTGCTTCCTGAGTACTGGCAACACTACAGGCCAACAGGAGATACCTCAGGGGTTGCAGAGAAGCGCAAAACAACTCAGAATCATGTCCCCAGCAACTATTTACAGAGGAGCTACCTAATGCAAATTGCTACAGGAATACAAAAAAATTGATTTGCATAAGGAGCACCTTTCAAAGAATATGTTCGAAGCCCCATTACTTCAGGTAAATTATAATGTAGTGGCTAAGTTAGTTTAATTTGTTTTCATCACCTGTAATATCATCAAACAGGAAGTAGCAGGAGCCTCATGGTTACAGATGCTATTTTTTTAAACCAACCTTTGCACAACTGAATATAAAAATAGTCATTCAGGCAAAGGCAGAGAGCAGGGAACTAAAAGTTCAATTTAACCTCAAGCCCAATGTCCTGGATTTCCTCACCACTAATCTCTCACACTAAAAATTCAAATAGTTCTAGTATCCAGTTTCAGTATAAAGCCTAAATCTAAGAAGACTCTTTGAATTGCCATCCTAAAGCAAACAGGATCACCAGGATTAGGAAACAGTAATATCCAAATCATAAATTTAGTGGTAACAATTTTAACCTTCGATCTCCAGACTTGAGATAATCTAATCTCCAGTGCTTATTGCCTACTAGACTATTTCAGCATCAATTCTGTATAGTCATACTACATATACTCTCAGTCCACCCCACCCTGGGTGAGGCCAATAATTAAATGCAGGTAGGTTTGGGATTGGATGAGGTGGGCAACACCCTGGGATCATAAAGCCTCTGCTGACCTTGATTCAGAATTTGATAATGAAGAACATCTTAATCCACAGGTGACCTACCTAGATAAAATGGAAATTAGATAAATCCACATGACTTGATAGCTGAACTCTGGGAATAAAACTTCCAAGAATCACTGGGAAATTTACCAGCAGACCAACCCAAAGACTAGCATAAAGTATGGTCTCAAAGAAAAACTGAACACCTTCAAGAAGCTGTGAAGATAATTAGGTAAGATAATATTCCATCAGACAGTAA